CCGAAATGGTCTCCTCCAAGCCTGCAGACCATCAACGTCAAGCTCAGTGCCCATGATAGCTGCTAAAGTAGGCACTTCTTGAGTTTGCAAAATCATGGATGTCTGGGCTCAGTTCCTGTGATTTTGCCTATATTTCATATGTAACGAGCTCTCGATGTCGTTGGTGTCAAGGTTTGAGCCGCTCTGCATCTGTCGAGGTAGATAGGTTGTGGGTCGGCAAAATGGAGTGTTTATTGGGTCAATCCCTTTGATATCTAGATAAGCTTTTGTTTCTTGAGCCAAAGGTTAGTCATTTTGACCAGGATCTGCTAAGGGATTTTGCCAATGGCAATTCGTAAATCGGGCAAATGGGGCGGTTCATCAAGTACCGGAGCAAAGGGGCAAGTGAGTAAGTTGGGCTTCGTTGAACATCTCAAAGAACAAATCGCTCTTTTTCCGGGTCATATTCCCCGGAGCAGCTTCTTCACAAGCCTGCCCTGCTCTTCCACTCCCAACCCCTCCCTATCCGTCTCCTGCAACGCCCTGCCTACAAGCAACGTCTCTTTCACCCCGCCACTCTTTACCCACACCTTCCCATTCCTCCCGACCGCAACCTCAAACGCCACCTTCTCCGCTATCTCCTCCAACACCACGAGACCCCCTTCTTCCTGCTGCCTCGCCAGCAACAACCGCCGCGCCATCCCCAAGCTGACATCGAACACCATCCCGCCTTTCAGCTCGCCCATACCTTCGGACTTGCCGGTCGAGGGGTTGCAGCATGCTAACTCCGGGTCGGTGTGTTTCGAGGCCGAGAGGACGCGCGCGTAGATCAAGCTGCCGGAATTGAGCTGGGGCCGGGTCTTCTTGGTGGCGCCTTCGAAGGCCAATTGCGGGAGCTGAGCGAGGGTCGTGTGGGGCGTGATGGCGCAGTGGTACCAGTCGGTCGAGGAGTGGTGGACGATTGCTAGGACTAGGTCATTGGGTTGGGGTATGTACTGGTAGTAAAGGCGCGATATTTAGCATGCCGAATGATGAGTCGCACAGGGGAAGTGAGGAGGTTCCGTGAAGGGCAGGAGAAAGCAGTACCCTACCGCTGTTATTTTCGACCCATATTGCGTTCTTCTTTTGGTCGATGCATAGCGAGCCAGCGAGGACGGAGGTTATGGTTGACGGAGGGGTATGGCGGAGGCCAGGGCCCAGTTTGAGTGCGAGAGATGGGTTTGAGGGAATCGGGAGGATGTCTGAAGGGATGACTTCGCCGGGGAGTACGAGTGTTTGTGCGGCCATTGGCCGTAGAATCTATTGTTCAGAAAAGTACTTTAACATCTTGCTTGGAGTGTAAGAGTGGAGACAGCCTGGAGTGAATGTTTCTGATGCCAAGGCCCGTTTTTGATAGTCGGATCTAACCGGGGCTAAAAAAGTTTGGGCATGGGCTCGAAAAAGTTCACTCTCGACCGTTGTAAGGCTCTGTTTAGTTCTGAGTGCAACATGATATGAGACGATCTCAGCACGAGTCCTTTGATAGTACTGCATAATGAGTTCCCAGGAAGAGGGCGAAACTTCGCCCGAAATAACCGCAATTGGAATATCGTTCGGCAATTCGAACAGTTCTATTGCCTACACATCTGGAGTATGATCCTGATCCTAGTTGGCTTTATTGCGCCAATCATGGAAGGAAGCATTGAAAGTTGTGCTGATCAAGTCTCCTATATAGGAAGGCAAGGCAGAAGTCATTGCGAACGAAGAAGGTGACCGCCAAATACCTTCAGTGCTGTCGTATATCGAGGGAGAAGAATATCATGGCACACAAGCCAAGTCGCAATTAGTGAGAAACAGCAAGAATACAGTTGCATACTTCAGAGATTACCTGGGGAAAGACTTCGACTCGATAGATCCCACACCATGCCACGCTTCCGCCCACCCCCAAAAGCACGAATCTACAGTAGCATTTTCGATACAAGACAAAGAGTCGGAAGCCCAGAATATCGTCACGGTTTCCGAGATCACAACTCGTCATCTTCGTCGATTAGCATCCTCTGCTTCTGACTTCCTGGGCAAGAAAGTCAATGCGGCAGTGATTACGGTCCCCACAAATGTCACAGAGGAGCAACGAGAAGCTTTGAGCAAAGCGGCGAAAGCAGCTGGAGTGGATGTATTACAGATGATCTCAGAACCAACGGCAGCTGTACTAGCATACGATGCACGGCCGGAAGCCAAATTGAAGGACAAGATCATTGTGGTCGCGGATTTGGGAGGGACGAGATCGGACATCGCCGTCATTGCTTCGAGAGGCGGTATTTACAGCATACTGTCCACATCCCATGACTACGAAACAGCGGGTGTGCAGCTTGACCAGGTCCTGGTTGATCATTTCGCCAAGGAGTTCACCAAGAAGAACAAGACGGACCCTCGGCAAAACGACAGGAGTCTGGCTAAGCTAAAGCTCGAAGCTGAAGCAACGAAGAAGGCTCTGAGTTTGGGCGGTAATGCCAGCTGCAGTGTGGAATCTCTTGCGGATGGAATCGATTTCAGCTCTACGATCAATAGAACACGCTACGAGCTTTTGGCTGGCAAGGTCTTTGGGGCTTTTACTCGCCTGATTGAGGAAGCCGTGCGGAAAGCAGACCTTGATATCCTAGATGTAGATGAGGTAGGACATGCGGCTCGCTTCTTTTCACTCTTACGTACCAGAGGTCTCTCCGATGACTTGGCGTGCACTGTTGAAGTCTGCTTTGAACCTTGCGACTGACATCCCTCTCAGGTCATCCTCTCGGGAGGAACATCGCATACACCCAAGATCTCGCAAAACCTTCAACGACTTTTCCCACCCACCACTCGCATTCTTTCTCCCTCCACCCTCCCTACAGCCATTGACCCTTCATCCCTGTCAGCTCGTGGCGCAGCCATTCAAGCATCTCTAGTGCAAGAGTTTGAAAAAGACGATATCGAACAATCAACTCACCCTATGGTGACCGTGACCCCACATCTACGCAACGCTATTGGCGTTATGGTGGTCAGTGAAGATGTGAAGAAAGGTCTGTTCACTACTTTAGTAGAAAAGGAGACGGCGGTTCCCTGCCGGAGAAGGGGTGTTTTTGCCGTTCCTAGAGAGGGCGGCGATGTCATGGTTAAGGTTTGTGAGGGGCTGAGAGATATCAAGGTGTCGAGAAAGGAGAAGCCGAAGGCAAATGGCAAGCCCGCGTCCGATGACTCGGACCTTGATAGCGACGAGGATGAAGATGAGGAAGAGGAGATGCGAGAGAAAGTGTGGAATGTTGGTAGTGTGCTTGCTGAAGCTGCAGTCAAGGAGGTGAAGAAGGGTGGGAAAGTGGAGGTTACGATTAGAGTGGAAGCAGACTTGGGGGTGCATATTGAGGCGAGAGAGGCCGGTGGAAAAGGAGGCATAAGGGGGACTTTGGGCACGGCAAGAGTGGTGGAAAATGGAAGTGCGTAAGGTGAAAAGAGATAGGTTTACGATGGATGTAAGAAGTTTGGAAGACAAGAGGCTTGCAATAGACGGGTAAAAGGGTTTGCTTGATAATTGAGCAAGGAGATTCACGTTTCGTATTCCAGTATGGAATGGATGACACGAGTTTTTGACAGGCAAACAATGAACATTGATTCCAAGGGTTTCATGAGCTAGAAACCCTTACCGCCATGCTCGAAAGAATGGGTTCCTTGCGTTTCTGATGGTCAACATGAGGTGTCATTGGCACATGATGCAAGCGCGGAGAGACTCCTACCGTCCCGGTGTGTTGAGGCCCAGTTTCACAGCAGGTCCTGCACTGCCTTGAATCCTACCACCAGAGCACAGCCCATGGGTAGCCATCTACGGTCAGGCAGTTGAGAATCGGATAACCTCGCTGCCATGATGGGGATAATTCGCGTCATCTCCCTCTGGCAGTTGGCCATCGATGATCCACTTCCCCAGATCAACGCCGGGATGGATGCAATTTCATGGGAGATGAGAGGCCAATTTCATCCCCGGTCCAGTTCACCCAATGAATTTTTGATTGCTTCCATGGCGGCCAATGAAATGTAGAGCTGGAAGAGACTAAGAAAGGAAGCGACTGCAGGAACAGGGGAAGCGCCCGTCTCAGGGAGTGGGTAGCAGGGATTGCCAAGGGTTTCAATTTAATCTAGTGGATTGCTTATTTCTTAGCTTCGCCGCACCAACTTCACTTCACCTCTCTGCCTTCTCTTCTCTTCTCTTCACCACTTATTCCCACAGCGGCACATTATTCTCCTGCATCATGGGAAATTGCAACTTCAATTTCCCTAATCCTTGCATCTTGCGCCAGAACAATTGGCCCCCCCAATTGCCACAGACATGCTCTCGCGTAAGATTACATTTACCACACTATCTCACGGCTCTCTGACTGGCTGTAACCCAACACTTGCGCTGGGGTGGGATTAGTCCGGTAAGGTACATGTAGTCGAAGGCGATATACTTGCGCCAATTATTGCTGTGGTGCGTCTCATATATGTTACACCACCGGATGTACTGCCCCTTCCCTTTTTCTGCCACCTTCATCTTCTTGTTCTTCACTCTTTCAACCTCTTCCAGTCACTCTCTCCAAAGTATCCTTTGTGCGATATCAGGCTATCATCGCACTATACACTCATTTCAAAGAAAACAAAACCAAACTATATTTGAGTTGATCTCATTCACTACTATCACTACAGCCTTTATCGCAGAAAAGGAAAGCAGGACAATATAACACGCGCGCAGCATTATCTGTCGAACAATCAGCCGAGACAAGCACCACAGCCAAGCTTGACAAAGCATCTCCCTCATAAAGCCTCAAGCAGAGATCTCGCTCGCTCAAAGCTCATCATCCTTCGCCATCATCATCATCATCACTAAACATACAACTGAACATACTCCGTCGCATCGCACAACCACCGCTCTGCGCAAACCCAATCTCAAAGCGTGCGCGCACAAAACACCAACCTCGAACCCACATCAACCACTGCGCACCACCAAAGCTTTCGCGCGCACAACCAACCATACACTCAAAATGCACCAACCAATCCTCCTCACCTTACTCCTCGCCGCCTCCGCGCACGCAGCCACCAAATACGTAACCACGACCTGCACCTCGACCTCCACCACCACCATCACCCACATCTCCGCCTCCAGCACCCAGATCTTCACCTCGGCGATTCCCATCGTCGAAACCCCCCTCCTCGTCTCCGCTCCATCCGCATCCACCACCATCATCGTCCCCGTCTCCTCCAGCGCCCCCTCCGCCAGCTCATCGCTCGTCTACACCAGCGAAGTCGCCCCGTTCCCCACAGCGGCGGGAACCGGCGCCTCGGCCCCTGTGGGCACGGGCTCTGGCTCTGCCTCCGCGACCGGCACCGGCGCTCCCATCACCCCGGCCATTCCGTACAAGGGCGCCGCGGCGAGGAATACGGGCACTCTGTTCGGCGGTGTCGTGGCTCTCGGCGCCGTCGCGTTGGCCCTGTGTTAGTAACGTGGGAGCCGGGAAAGAAATCGAACCGTTGCGTTGCGGGGGAAGATATAGATATAGGGGGTCGGGGGCGGACCGCGGTCGGTCATTTCCGTTCGTTTCTTGAGTACATGTTGTGGTTGGATTCGTTCCCTGTAAAGCGCGCGCGCGCCCCGGGGGGGTCCGCTGCTTGCCTAGCTATGCCTTTGTTTCCTTCTCTCTCTCTCCTACCGATTGCTATATTCCCCTCCGAGCCGAGCCGAGCGGTGCGCTCGAATCTGTCGCTACTGCTGCTGCTGCTGCTGCTTGCGATGAACGAATGGAATTAGATGAAGTCGGTTTTTAACGTGTCCATTGATCTGGCCTGGCGAGAGAGTAAAGTACATTTGTGCTGTGTACATAATATATGTGAAGTCAAGTGAAGTGCAGTGAAGTGAACGGAGATCAAAACCAGTACTCCGCAGTGATGTGTGCGTATCCATCTTTGCCATTGTGATGCCACGTGTTCCGTTTCGAGGAATGAATGTATTCACTATGGAGTCTAGAATGCCTATCCGGACCTAACCTAGTACAGAACCCGCCATGGATCAACCAGGCATGGATCCCACCACTTCGATAGCCCAGACCATCTCCCCCCTCTCTCTCCGCAAACACTACTTAGTTAGTCCAGCGTACGTACCGTCTGCAATCCGGGCTCGGAAACGGACGTGAGGATATGGGTAGGGTATCTCCGCGGTGAAACGGGTCAAGGACTTGGATGCAAGGTGCAGCTGAGGGATATGGGCCTTTGTACAATCGGGGCTGCAAGGTGTCGACCAAAGGGGGATTTCTAGGTGTGGAATGCAGGAATGCGAGACCTATGAGTCGGAGCGAGGCTTCAGGAGATGTCGATCGGAGGAATCCATGGCGATTGTAAGCCGAAAGCAGCCCGACCTCGTTTCTTCAATCGGCGGCGGATCTGCCGCGCTTTCTCGGTAACATCTCTGCGGTTTCTTCCCTCGCACGCTTTTCGTGACTTGGATGATGTTGTCGCTTCGACCTTTGCGGTGGATCCATGGGCCGTCTCCCCTGTGAAAGATCCGGTAGGGGACGCGGAGAGAAAAGATCCGCCGCTGACGGCGGTGGCAGACCCCGCCACTGGTTCATGAGCGAGCAGTAGTCTTCATCGGTGGAGATTCCCCGCGGGATTGATCCTGGCTTTGGCCCTGGATTACTGTTGCCGCTGTAGATGATGGCGCCGTTGGGGAGCTCGTCGAGGATCTCTCGTTGGGTATACTCGACGAGGGTGTTGTCGTTCTCGTTGTCGCCATGGGCAATCCCAGAGCCTGATGCGGCGAGGCGGAGCTTCTGGAGGTTTCGCAAAGCGGGCTTCTCGTCATGCGTATAGTGTTCCAGGATATTGCTGCGGTACTTGGCGCGACATTCGCGCTGGAAACGGCTTCGTCGTGCGAGTTTCCGATGCGTCTCTAGGAGATTGGGGGTGTCCTCTCCGGGGTCCAGGTGCCAGCCCAGACGTTGAGATAGAATGGTGTTGAAGACGTGCTCTTCCCCCAAGAGTTGGTCGAGCATGCCTTTCCAGTCCACCGAGATCTCTTCCTTCTCGTCATCTATGTAAAGGTTGGGAAGCCCAGTGTCGTTTACTACTTCGCGAACCTGGATCGAGAACACAGGAGATCCGACGAGCTGCTTTTCGTGGAGACGCCTGAACACCATTTCTTTTCGAGCCTTTCCACACTTGAAGAAGGCTCTAGCCTGATCGTCGGAGAAGCGATCGAGAGTGAAAGACGGCGTTTTTGTCGTATATTCGCGCACACTCGACATATCACCATAACATCCAGCGTATCCCACGGAGCGATCAGGCGTGAAGACGTCCCAACACAGGAGATGGAGGCCTGCGAAAATATCAGCGTCTTTCGGCTTTCCCCAACATGCTAAATCGATACTTGAAGGCTGCAACGAAGAGGCTTACCCAAGTCACAACGCAGAATTGTCTCTGGTAAGAAAACCGTCCTGAACATCCTCTCAACCTCGCACCTGAAGTGCTTCGAAACGTGTCGTCCTCCTACCCAAAGCCACGTGAGATCTTCGGGGTCGTGAAGGTCTTGAAAAGTATCCAGAACCATGCTCTCAAGTTCGGCAAAGAGTCTGGGCTCGCCAGAGCGAGCACGCTTGCTGGGTTTCGCCCACACAGGTTTGGAAGGCGCGCTCGAAGACATGCTCATGGATGGTGTTGGGAGTATGAAAGTCGAAGAGAACCGATGCCGAAGCTCTTGCAATTCACTGTTAGCTTCACACTAGCGTTCAATGTGAATGAAGTCTGCCCTTTCTACTGTGTTCCGCGTCAGCACGTGATTGAACTTGCTTTGAAGTTGATTGACTACCTTGAAAGATAAGGCAGAAGGGCATGGCATTTATCAGGCAGTTTGGGTTCGCCTGAGGGGTCCATCTACTTCCAGTGCAACCCAGAAACAGAATGTTTTGGTGGGCAACCAGGCAAGGCAGCATCGGCACACGGGTTTGAGCCTCTCCTCCAATTTACATTCTTTTCCCGCAGTGTAATTCTGTCAGGGACGAGCTTAATAGTCGCGACGCTTGATCACTTGTTCTTAATACCTCGGCACTTCTATTCTCCCCACTGCGGAGCCCCAGCAGTTCCCCAGCACTCCATCACAAAAGGTTCGATGACCCTTTTCCTTTCGTGTCCGCATCAGAAATAGTCTGCCTTCCAGATTCTACTGGCCATGAAGCTCAGAGCGTTCACTCTGCACGCTGCTGCGTGCTGCCCTGCCAGCAACCATAAACAGAGTTCGATACGGCCGCTGTCTGTTTGGTCTAATGAATTGCGGAGTACCACAAACTTCTCGCAAGGCTCCAAGTGTACGGACAGATGGCAATGGGACATTCCTCCCACGGCCTTAGCCTCCTCTTGCTCGTTCAACGTTGGCACCTTCCAGATCCCGTTGTGGTGTTGCAAATGCTGCTTAAGTTGCTGTATTGCTTGAAGGAGCGCAAGCAGTGCGCGCACTAGATTAAATGTCAGGAGCTTACTCTAAACTCAAGTAGCATGGCAGCACGAGTTGCTCCCTGCCTTTAAGTCGCGCCTGGGAGGTGGCACTTACACTCTAAGCTTCAAATACAGCCATCCACACACCATGAGCAATACAGCATTCACGGTAATCGATCCGAGCAATGCCTTCTTGTAGAAACCTGGCCTCCGGTGTAGATTGACCTGGTTACTCCTGCTCTCCACGCTCTCTATGGGTTCCTCGTGCCACTCGTCTAATTCTGCTTGTAACTCTGCCGCGGCCACTTGATCATATGTTTGGGTTGGTTTGAACATGGTAGTTTGGGGATAAGCTTGAGGGTATGGCGGGTGGAGGAGTGGAGAAATGGAGAAATGGAGTGGGTCGTAGCTGGTAGGGGATGAATCTTGTGGCACCGAGAGTCCCTTAGCTTTAGGGCTGTTACCCCTATATTAATTTGTCCTAGGAAACTAAAAAGTTGCCGTAAGCACCCACGCGGGTTCCAGAATTCGTCGCACACCCTAACGCCAAGTCGCTTCCCCAAATCTGGTTAGGGTGTGCGACGAATTCTGGAACCCGCGTGACACCCCCCATCGAAAATTAAAAATATATCCTCTTAAATAACTTCACAACCACGACTTATTATAATCCAGAAATATTATAGACTATACTTACTATATTAATCAGTTAATCCTTAAATTTTTAGAAAATTCTAGCTCGGATATCTTGAGTAAAATTATAAAGTGTGAAAATACGCTTAACATTAAAAAGTACCTCGGCTATTTTATAAACGCCAAGACTATCTTAAAGAAATTCACAAATTCTATAAGACTTTTTATTTTACAAAATAACGAATAATTAGAACCCTCTAAAAACTAGAAACGTGAAGATTCAATATCTTTTTAATAAACTATAAAATTTCTAGAGTATTATAAATTATCGGTGTGAAGTTATTCAAGAATATTGGATTTTCGAGGGAGGGGTGCTTGCGGCAACATTTTAGTTTCCCAAGACTTATTAATATAGGGGTACTAGCGCTGTCCTGGACTTCGTTGCTCGCACCTGCTCACAGCTCTTTCTCTTTTACGTCCCAACTCGCACTCCAATAGCCCAAAAGCTCTCTCCAGTCTGACATTGCTTATCCCCCAAAAAGCTTTTTATATACAGATGCTTCGGCTTCCACCAGCGTGGCCCAAGTCCCCGTATATTGCTGCGCGTCCGCTCAATTGTGTTCTCAAGGAGAACGGATACACCGCCGCTAGGATGCAGGTGAGACCACCACACCATTAAGATGTAAGCTGCACAGCCTGAACTGCGCTGCTTTCTGTCAAGTTTCGAAGCTGCAGAAGTATACTGTGGCTAGGTCTTCGAACGTAGCCTCGGTGATATTCTCATGTAGTGGGCCAGGCTCCCCTAACTCCTCTCATTAGAAACAATTTCAATCCTAAGTATACTGTGTCTATTTTCCACCCTGATCACTTTACCTCGCGGCTTACAACCAATCTTCCTTTCACACAACATGGCGCTATGTATACTATTTCTCACACTCTCGTCCCTCTACTGCAAAACCAATGCCATATCACAACAGGGCAACATCGGCCTCTGGAGCGACTCAGAATGCAATTCCAAATCAGGCGCAACCTCCAACTTCGGAGAACCAGACCCCATCGCCCTTAACTTCACCCTCTTACCCGACGTCTGCGGCGTCCCTGGGGCTACAGTCCGCAGCTACCGACTCTTGCAGAACGCGACCTGCGCCAATGGCACCACAGCAGAATTCAACTACTATAACAGCAACAACAGCACAGCCGACCCCACAGCCGAAGACCCTAATCCTGGGCTGGCGAAGCGTATGAAGAATCGACGTCAGGTCGCGGGTAACTTAGATGGTGAATGCCTGGCGCTTATCGCCTTCAATTCCCTGGCATTTGTTTGGGAAGGCGTTGCTCCTGGAAATAAGAGATCCATCTCCCTCTCGACATCCGCTCTAGCGCCAACAACTGCATCTTCATCTACCACTCCTTCGATATCATTCTCTTCAAACCAGTCAAATACAGCAATAAGCTCGTCCACAACAAGCTCACCTGCCACAAGCTCACCCATAACAAGCAACCACGGCTCAAAATCTAGCCTCTCCGCTGGCACAAGCGCTGGTGTCGGCGTTGGATCTGCTGTCGGGGTATTAGCAATTGCTGCTCTGTGTTTTTTCTACTTCCAAAGGCAGACCGTTACCAACACTGAACGCGGTAACCGACGTTCAGAACCGTTGTCCGCGAACGCTGCGATGACGTCTGCATCCGACACAAGAGGTATCGCCTATGAGGTTGGCGTAGGTCAGCCGCATGAGATTGGAGGAGATGCTATTGATAACGTTCACGAAGCTGGCACAGACAACGAGATTCATGAAATTGCTAATCAAAGGATGAACCTCGATTTATGAGTCTGGTGGCTAATATATCAGGCATTTTGCAGCGAAATCGTCCTCATTAGTAGTTAGTGCAATTCTATAGACATTTGCCTTTCAACGCCTCCAACATGGCACATACAGCCCAGCTCAATGTCTCCTGCGCCTCAACATCCATACCTTCCTGGACTACAATCCCTAATTGCTTACACCTCTCTGCATCCATCCGGCCCTCAACGTTTTCTTCTTCAAAGAACTGCATGCGCTGCTCCACATAGTTCCGCCAAACCATCTTCTCGAAGAAGTCTTCCGTTTCCCAGAGTTCGCCCTGCTTAGCCTCAGCGCCGTAATTCGGCCTCGTCATCCTCCTATGCTTTGTTTCCCTATGGCTAAGTCTCACGAATATACGAGCATCGAGCCTCTCCCTGATCTCGGGAACAGTAAAGGGGACAAATTCTTCAATGATCACCATTTTCATGGCCTACCGCGAGCCGCCAAGCACATCGCTGTCTTAGACCTTCTTCGTCTCCTTCAACACCTCATTCCCTGCCAAATCCAACGCTCTCTCGTCCTACCCCGGGAATACATCTGCCGGCCAATTCTGTATCCTAGCAGGCAATGACTCACTCTTTCCAAGCCTCTTCGAACGCCGTCGAACAGAACCAAAGCGGTCCGGTCTCCTGGACGGAGTCAATGACTGAAGAGCCTAATCAGCTGGGGTTGTAAGAAAAATATGTGAGAGGTAGCCACTTACCCATGTTTCCGAGTTGCACCGACATCTTGCCTTGGATTCCGAACTTGATATTTCCTTCATATAAGGCGCTTACACGCTCTTATTTATAGAAAAAAATTATACTCATACATTAAGCCGCGGGTAAGTTTACAGATGTCCCCGTTATCTTTAAGGCTCGCGCTCTCCCAAAGATGACGCTTCAGTCCGATGGCGAATATTTTGGGTCCGTAATTGGGAATTCCTTCAAGGAGGAAAGGGCGAGAGCGTCTCGAATCGTACAGACCTAGGTCCAACCTGCCTTTCCGTTGGAGGAGCTTGATTTCGGTCGAGGTACTGATCCATAACTGCTTCATGAATGTGGGAAAGAATATAAAGCTGATAAGCGCATACATGTAGTAGAAGTCGAAGTTGACCTGCTTAGGAGGATGCTGAGCGACTTAACTGAAGTATGCTGTTCTTCTCAATGAGGTTTATCGGGTATTATAATTGCTATTCGCCTCGTCTTGCCATGATCATGTTCGTCGCCCAGGCTATACGGTTGAAGCCGCAGGTACCACACGTACATTTGCGCTTTCGCTGCGAGCAGTAGATTGTGTGGGCAAGCGGTCACACGCTTGCAGGCCTACAACTACCTTAGTATAAGTTGCTGTTTAGTGACGGACTACTAGTGATCACCCTAATAGTCGTAACGATTAGCAGAACCCGTCCCGCTTCTCGAGCAACCACGTCTCATGCCTCACCATCCACCACGCCAAGCTTAAACCCACCTACACACCCCCTCTGAAACAACCCCTCCGGATCATACCTCCTACTCACCCCCTGCAAGAACCGCCAATTCTCCCCACCATAACCTTCAAACGGCCTCTGCCACTCCGCGCAATAATTCATGTACCGATATCGATGGCCCGTTCCATTAGCCGCTGCAACGGCATCAATCTGCTCAACGGCGCGGCGCGTCGTCGTCTTGACGAACTCGTCATCTCGGCGTTCGGCCCAGTTGACCGTGAAGCTCACGATAACGAGAGGCTCATGAGTGCAGTCGTGCAGGCCTAGCGGATTCGCATCGCCCTTGCGTACCCAGTCCGGTAGGAGCGGCTGCAGGACGAGTGTCCAGACCAAGCCCCTGACTTTGACACGGCGGAGCGAGGCGATAGCATCGCAGTAGGCGGCGTGCGCGGCCGCCAGGGTGGCACGGTCGTTCTTGATAGTCGTGGTGGCGAAGACCTGGCGCCTGCCGGGGGGGTTGAGCGCGTTCATTTCATCGGTCGCGCTAGTTAGGGTGCGGACCTTGCAGGTGCTCCAGAGGCGCCAAAGCGATCCGAAGGTTGAGGTCCTCCAGCAGGCGGGCCATTTCTTCTCGTTCTCGGGGAGCTTGGTATAGACGAGATTCACGGAGATGGCCTGAACGCCGAGTTTCTGGATATAGGAGAAGCAGGCTATGGGGCCGGCGGCGTGGTTGTCGTACGTGGTGCTGGAACCGCCCGAATCCTCTCTGTTGAGGCATTCGTGGAAACCCGCGAGGACCTTGGCGGCTTGAGAGGCGGGCATGTAGAGGAAGCCGCTCCAGATTTTGGTGGAGGGGAAGCTGCGGGCCGTGAAGCGCGTGACGATGCCGAAGTTGTTGGAGCCGCCTTTGAGGGCGCGCCAGAGTTCGGGGTTAGTTGATGCAGAGGCTGCGGCGATGGAGCCGGAGGCCAGGACAAGTTCGTAGCTGAGGATGTTGGAGCAGACTAGGCCGAAGCGGGGGGAGAAGAAAGAGAGACCGCCTATTTGCGCCTTTGTGTCAACTCTGGAATAGAGTAAGAATGGAGCTGCTGGTGGGGATCTTAGAGACCCGACTCGCAATCGAAGTGGGGGAGAGGGGCGAGTACAGACGTCAAAAGCGGAAGCTTACCTCCCAAAGTCAAGCCGCCCACCCCAACAGCAGAGTTCCTGCCTCCAACAACAGCGAGACCCTGCTCGTCCAGGATCTTGGAAACATCCATCCACTTGGCGCCAGCTCCGATGACCACGCTCGATCCATCCTCAGAGGGGGTCACCTCACACAAGAGGCCAAGGTCGATCATGACACCTCCATTGATGCTCGCAGCACCGGAAACCGGAGAATGGCCGCCGCTGCGGATAGCGAATAGTCCTTCGGCTTTTTGCTCGCCAGCTTGCTTCCCTCGCTCGTCGTACTCGCGCTTGAGGACAGTGACGGCCACGCAGAGCTGCTGAACGTCGCGGGGGCGGACCACGCATGCTGGGATCACTTCGCACTCCTGCTGGGCCCAGTAGGAATCTATCGACTCCTTGAAGGCGACGGCGTCGTGCGGAAAGATGACGCTGTCGGGCAGTGCCGATGCAAGGCTTTTGCTGAGCTTGGTAGGCTCTGGTGAGCTGATCGTGAGGTCTAGGTGGTTGGGCTTCTTCACAGCTTGTAGGGTCTGTGAGGTCCGTAGACGGCGCATGATGAAGATGGAGATGATGATGAGGAGCGTCGTTGCGGCAGATGCGGAAAGCAGCTGAAAGGACATGATGACTGTTTGGGCATGATCCACGAGAAGGTAGACCATCGAGAGGATAAAAAGGCGTTGGCTCTGACGAGTGTGACGGTACCCAAGCGAGACGGCTGATGAACGGTATTATAATCCCTGCAAGTATTACGAGATCTTGACTCAGAGCTTCGCGGAGCATATAGCCTTGTGGATCAGAGCTGTCGCACATACACGTCGGATGCAACCAAGGTTACAAGACCTATTTTGAAGCTTAGAGTACATCCAGTCCAAAGGTTTAGCGTCAAGCGGATCCTCTAGTCTCCGTCATCATACCTTAGGTACATTTGACAAAGAGCCTTCGCTGGTGTTTACTTCAGCGCCGGCGAGCCAATAGCCTCCAGATGGCGCCTCAATACTCGCAGCACCGGAAACCGGAGGAATGCTGGGATTACTTTGTAGAGTGGAGGAAGCAATTAAGGATTGTCGTCTATAGCAATAGATAGTATATAGGGTGCTAAAACCGTAGGGTATACGCTTATCAAAGGAAAGCAAAGGAAAGCAAAGGAAAGCAAAGAGTAATAGTGCCCAGCTCACTAACCTTCTCATTTCCCCTTCCTACAGTCCTCGAGATGCTTCTCGACTAAAGCCGTATCCTAGAGCTCGAGATGGTGTTGACGACCCAGGAGAGCTTTGATGTCCAGCTTCGTCTCCTTCGTGTCCAGCTTCACGTCCTGTACGTCGCGCTTCACTTTCTCCATGCCACCTTTCACTCCATCGATACGGGCTCCGAGAAAACGTAGATATCCGACAACGCCAATCACTAAGGTTGCTTGAAGAGGCTGTTAGACAGAGCTGAGTTGAGACTCGAGAATGTTACTTTATGTGCCTTAGGATCGGCAGCCAGGCGGGAGAACCCGTGCACTACTCTAGGTGCTCAAGCTACCTTACCTCTCGGGGGCGCTTCGGGACCCCCAGGGCCCCATATAGGCCGAAATAGGGGTGGCAGCGGCTGTGAAGCGCAAACACCCCCAGGCATGGCTTTTGAGCTTAGCGATATTTCGGGTTGCTAATAATCTGATATTGAATGCTTTTGAAGAGTACTAAGCTTAGAATAAAATTAATATGTAGACCTTATTAATATTAGACTTCGTGGCGATGTTTTTATAAGGGTCTACTTGTAGAAGTAGCTGACAGGTGTGTGCGCCATTTTCTCAATGCCAAGAAATTGTAACGTCTTCTGCACACGCCAGTACCCGAATATCAACAATGGCGACTCTGCGCGTCACAAACAACGACTTTCCAATAATCTCGTCTATATATATCTTATCATTGAGACATTCGTATGTTCATACCTGGCAATCACGGTGCAGAACATATGCGTATGCAAATCTCCCATCCACAGACTGAATTATGGCCTCACCTACGAGGGAAGATTTGGACCTTGGGAGTAGCAACAAGGGCAGTACGCCCTCCGAACCGTTGGATAGCATAACTTCAGCCACGACCTTTGACCTCTTCAGTGACTTCGAAGAATCTGCTCAGAGCTTCGGAGAACTCACCTTGCCAGAACTGCCAAGCTTCACTGCATCTACAGTGAATAAGAAACGCGATCGAGACGAATACCTCGCCAGCTCCAGTGACGCGCCCCTCTTCTCAAGTGACGACCTTCCTGCTTCTTCAGCTGAAAATTACTACGGGCCAAGGGTCAAGCGACAGCATCGGAGACCATGGTATGAAACAGACGAGTCTTGGAACACTGTCACGTTACCTTCCTCTACAAAGAAGCCCCGCATGAGGGGCCCTTTCAAGAGAACCCATGACAGTGGTGTCTGGCTGGGCAGTGACGCATCTACGGAGAATGAAGATAACGATCGGCAGGACGCTGTTCGAAGGGTATTGAGAGTCATGGAAAGCGGAGGGTCCATTGACGGTGATGAGGAGCTTTGGCATGAGGATGAAAGAGAGCTTGATCTTGGAGACAAGGTTCATAGCCCCTGTACTCAGACATTAGAGGAGAAATTGCAGCAAGCTTTGGTCAATAGAGCTCTGCAGATAACTGAAGATCCGGGGGGCTTCGAGGGACCGGTGTTTCCATACTGGCAGAAGCAGCCAGGTCATTTGATGGGCTTTCACTTGGTCCAACAACAAGCACAAAAGAAAGTCACGCTGTGTGTCGAACAAGGTGGAGAGGCTATCGACTTGTCGTATGTTGCTTCTTTAGAACCCAATCCCCTCGACATATGGCTTCCCATTGCAGTGCGAGCTTTTTCAACAAGTCCCGGCTGACTCGTAATCCAGAACGATGTACATGCAGCAGGTACGAACGCCGACGCTACGGCCGCTGCGCTACCATACAAGAATAGTACCGAAGCAGGGCAAGGGGAACCGCTATCAGTCATTGACGCCAGCACTACGGCTATATCTATCGAATAATCTTCTCGAGGAAGTACCTGGGGAGGTGTTTCATTTGAAGAATTTAGAGGTTTTAAGCTTACGCTCGAACAATCTGACGGAGATACTTCCGACAATTGGCGAGCTCAATAACCTCAAAGAACTCAATCTAGGCAGTAATCAGCTCAATTGGCTTCCTTGGGAGCTCCTTAGTCTTCTTCACGCCAACCTCCAAAAATGCATGATCTATCCAAACCCCTTCATTCGCCCCGTCCCATCAACCTGGAACCACGCATCCAGCCGAGAGCTCAAGTCCGGTGAGCCATGCCAACAAGTAGCCTCGACACGTATCGCTTTCCTCGATATTACTGGCGCTTCATTGCGCCATTGGCCACCGGCTCCATCGTCTCTCCCAGAGCACTGGCCTGAACCCCAAGCAGACGACGAGTTCCTCGGGCCGCCGCCAGAAGAACGTACCAAAACACCATCCCTCCTCGAACTCGCCTTACGCGCTTGCAAAAAGTCACCACAACTGAGCCAACTTCCTTTTCTCATCCCGCAAGACTGTCCAGAACATCTCACGCAGCTCCTCCAGACAACCTGGAAGCTCAAAGAAGCAGGCGGCAAAAGCTGCTCTGTCTGCGGACATGAGTACATCATCCCACGCACAGAGTGGATCGAATGGTGGTACTGCATCCCGGATCAGGGTTTCAGAGGGCAGCTGGACAACATGCTTGCGTTGCACAAGATGCCAGTGCCATTGCTGAGGAGAGGCTGCAGTTGGGCTTGCTGGGAGGAAGATGCAAGCCCGTTGATCAGAGGGTGGAGCTCTGCAACGCTGCCTGGAGGGCTAAAGGAGGAAAGACATGTTCATGGCGACGTTCGGACTTCGCCTACAAGGAGGACCATACCGCCTAGTGGGAGGATCCGACAATGACCTGCTGTCCATAGTCCCTAGGGTACTGGAAACGAATACGGCTTACGATCGTTGCATGACTGATAGATTTGGAGCTCTTTGAAATTTCTACTGACCCGGAGATCGAATGTTGCCTGATGACTGAGGACAGCTAGCTTTTTCGAATGGAGCATATACCCCAGAGCGATGTCTTATCTTAAGAGTTCTCCATTGTCGTGGTGAGATATTGGGCTCCCCTATGTGATTCTGGGAGTAAGCAATTCGAGTTGTTGGTAACGGAATTAGATATGGAAGAAAAGTGTTCATCTCAATGTCCGGCAATTCCCTTTCTGCTCAAGTCCTCACTTCGAGCTCTCACTCTCCAATATCGATCGATGGCAAGAAGCAATCGCCTCCGTCATCTCCTCGTGCGGCTCATCGAATGCATCAACAATCCCCATCCCCTTCCCTCCCCCCTTCTTTTGAACATATCAAAACCAGTGAACCCCGACACACCATTTTTGGTTCATGAGCAACCCTACCGTGCCTCCATAATCCCTGCCTCTCTCTTTGTGCCCGTCCAGCGCACTCTTCCGTTGCGGATTCATCTCCGTAGCACACCAATTCCCGATATCAGCTACCAGCACAGGCTTTCCGCAAAGCTTCTGCCATCCATCGAACTCCTGCACCACCACTTTTCGATAGGCCTGAGCAGGTTCGCGGAAGTACTGCTATCCCCCTGTTCCCATCATACCGATCTCCAAAAATCAAACGATTCCCATCCACACTCCTCACCACCTTACAACCAACATTCAAACACGTCTCAGCCAACCCCCCAATCTTCTCCTCCCACTCTTCATACCCCTAACCCTTCCAGTCCCGGCCACTCCCCCCCCCAGATCCATGCCCAACCCAAGCAGAGATATATATCCAACAAAGAAACACCCAACCCACAGCCCACTGTCTCCACGCACGGAACACACACTCCGAGCCGAAAACCCGCACCATTCTCCCAACACCCTGCCGCCCGGATCTCGGAACACGGCATTCACGTCCCCAATCTTGCATCTCCAGCAACGGCAATCGTATCTAACCGTATACGGCATCCCGCACTCCCCATTGGCTCCACCCCAGCGTCGAATGCAACAAATTGACGCCGTGGTCAAATGCGGCGTCTAGAGTGTATTCCGCTCTGGGGATGTCGGCAGGCTATGGCCTTTCGATGACGGGGTCGGGCGTCCGGCTTAGGGTGTTGTGGTTGGATGATTGCGGGTGGGAGAGGGTGGAGGCGGGGAAGGAGGAGCGGGGAGGATGGCGCGGGGAGTGGGGGTGGGGGTGGTGGAGGTTGGGTTCTTGGGGGTGGTTGGAGGGTGAAAGGAGGGTGTGGGTTGAGAGGATGAAGGAGGGCATTTTTTTGGTCTTCGCTGGGGATGAGAGTTTGGGAGAGGGGGGGCGTTGGGGAGGTTGGTGGCGATGGGAGATTGGGTTGCGGTAGCGATTGCGTCGGATGTGTGTAGCTGTGTTGGCGGCTGGAAGTGAGTGGTTGTTGGAGTAGAGTGAGAGGTGGGAGGGAGATGGTAGAGATCGAGACGTGGCAGAGGTTCAAACATCACATAGGGCAGGCCATGTGGACGGTGTTTCTGCATGCTTCGATTGCCCCTAGCATACATCCGTTGCATCAAATCATCCACCGCCGCCACCAGCATTCTTCAGGCCATGTGTTCAAAGCAAGCAAGATATCCGGTATCACAATGCAAAACGCCCGTAGATGACCATCTTTTATCCTGCCTCGCTGTTTTCTGTTCGAGTACCACTTGCAAACATCATCATCGTCGTCCCGTCGACAAGAACCATCACTCACTCTCCCCTTTTTTCTTCTTCCACACCAGGACGCATCTACTTCCGCCTAAAGGAGCACCCCTCCGTCAGTCTCGCCTTCCCACCGGTCGGCTGGCACAGCACGGTCGAGCAGCCGCCGCAGATGACGACGGTTTGGGCGTGCGAGAAGACGGTTGTGATGGTGAAGCAGCCGGGGCACTTGACGTCCATGAAGAAGGAGCGGGGGGCCGGTACGAGGGTCTAGCACGGTTTTTCACATGTCAGTTGGCTTAATTTGATGTGGGGAGGGCGGTGAAGGGGGGGACGCCACTGATCGCGGCGTGATGGGAGAGTAAGTAGAGGAAAGAGGTAGTGGCTCACCTTGAGCTTGTGCTTCCTCGACTCAGCAGCAGGCGTGGGGTTGAGGAGATCGATTGCGAGAACCTGTAGTGGAGATGTTAGCAGATGGCGGTTGGTGAAGTCATGCTCCCTGTCTTCAGCTCGGGCGGCGTACCATCTTGGCGGTCGTGTATTGTGCTCTTTGAGATTTGTGTGCAGCTTCTTTGTCTGACTGAGTGTTTGAAGTCGAGGGTTTTGTGTAGCTGGAAGAGACTGTGGTTTGTGGCGAATGAGTCAATGTTTTGTGCGGTGTTGCAGTCACAAATTCAACTCGGCCTGTCGTGGGATTGCCAAGGCGCTAGAATCTAGCGATCGGCTAGTGGCCTTAACGAGAGTAGCAGCTCCCGATGTCCGATGTCTTTACTTTGCTTGGACTTACTTCGTCAAGGTATGTTTGATATTCTGCCTGGATTATCTGGCTACAACAATGTACCGATGAGAACCACTGCCAGTGATTGTATGGAAAGTTTGTCCTCTATCAGGGGTTCTACCTCACCCTTCGACGTTCCGGAGCTATGGAAGCAGAAGAGAACAATCAGGTATACTAGAACCTGCTGCTTGCAGCCTGTTGGAGATGGTATATCTTCTTCGAACACAGTTAGGCTATTTGATTTAGAAATCTTCGCTCTATACCGAGTTTCTGCATCTGAAGCCTTCGTCCCTATTATCATCATTAATCATCAACATTCCATCCCTCACATGAACGCACAAACCGACCTCTCCTTCCCGCCATCCCTCAACTTAGTATAGAGCGCTGTCCTCGCCCCCCTCTCCGCCTCATCCCTCAATGGCACAAAACAATTATTGAATAGCGAATCTTCATTCCTCTTCACCTTGAACATCTGATCCAAGCTTCCCCACTCCAAGAAAACCAGACAACCCCTCGCAGTATCTGCACCGTGCTGCACCGGTCCTAGAGTCCAACCGTGGACCTTTGATCGGATTTCATCGTGCGGAAGTCTTGCGGTATAATGTTGTAATTGTTCTTCGAAGAACTCTTGGTCCTCGTGCGTAAGGGCTGGGGGGAAGAAGAGAGTGACCAATTCTGTAAGGCCGTGTGGAGATAGATTGCTGTGGGTGGTAATGCAGTGGACTTTGAGTGGAGAGATATTGATACCTTCGAGGACAACGTCAAAAGTAGGGCTTGTTTCGAATGATTCTGCTGCTTGGATGTCGGTCCAGACTGCAATCGAGAAATATTAAATCAATAATTTGATTCAGTGCTCAGAGGCAGAAAGATCACGGCAATTTGAAATGAACTTTCTCTTCCATACCAATGAATATATCAACCTTATGGGAGGTATTCATGTCCCGACCCCAAAGCGTCCGTAGCCATCCTGTCTGCTTCCTGATCGTCCGCATAGCTTTCCTCCATCTTCTACCTTCGTGCGAGAACCTGTGGTCAATTGTGCTGTCATTGAGTATAGTGAAGGAGATGGTTTGAAGGACTTGTTGCTCGTTTGAGAGGGACATAGACATGACTGGAATATGATCGTAGATGAACGAGGAGCGTGGGAAATTCTCAGCGTGACAGAGCAGAAGATAGAAGAAAATGAGAAATAATCATGGCAAAGGATCCTCGGAATCCACTGCGAAGAGGCAGTGCTCTCCATACGAAACAGAAGTCAAAAAGCATACGGAACACATAGGCGCAAGCTGTAGGAAGGGGGGGGGGTTTCATCGAACTCGAAATAGTCTGCAATCAAGCATCAGGCGTTCAATCGCATCACTTTCGCCAAAGTCAGCAGTATAGGCATCCATAGATGCTTCAACAGAAAGATTTTATTCGCTTAGTGAGTTTCTTCAGATACGAGGTGGAAGGAAGCTGTGCTGGTCCATTTTTAGCAACCTCTGCGCGCGGGTCGTCTCGGCCGTCACCCCTCCCACCCCTCAGGCATCTTAGAGGCGCGCAAGAGCTGCTGCAGCGAGACAAACCTCGTGGTCATCGATCTTAGGTGCAAACGAGACTGAGAAGCAAAGGTCACCAACTGAGGTACCAGGAATCGGCCCGGGGTTCTCCCGGCCATCAACTGTTGAAAATGGCTGGGAACACACTTGATTGGTCAAATTATTCATCCATTTAGCCTTGACCAGGTTAGCACCATTCGCTAGTTGGATCCCTACACCATACCGGATCGGACTCTTCCATCAATTGAAAGAGGATTTGTTAAGTATATCAATCTCAAGGGCATATTTGGACGTGATTTATTCAACTCCAGCCCTAGTCCACAAGATAGGGCTACTGCATCTCATCCCATAGAAGCCTTCCATCCAGCAAGTCCCTCTGCCCGTATAATTCGCCTATAATCGTGACAAGCATATCAAGCGTAGCATGTATCGTTGCCTTCTCATCTGTCTTCTCATCCAGACCTCCATCATCTATTCCCAATTCTGTGACTGGGTAAGTCGGTGTGGGGATTTGTATATCATCTTTATTGCTGGCTTTGGTCTCCGTGGAATCGTTTTGTGTTTGATTGGGCCCAAGAGAATTGGAAATACGTTGCTTCGCTTTCGGGAAATCAGCGTCAGACATGGTAGCTATTGGGGGAGCTTCGCTGTTGCCGTCATGGCTCAATGCCGCCGTAGTAATGTCATCCACTTCTAGTTCAGAAGCAGGGTAGGTGAGTGTCGGGCTTTGTCTATCATTTTTATTGCTGGCTTTGGTCTCCGTGGAATCGTTTTGTGCTTGATTGGGCCCAAGAGAGTCGAGGATATGCTGCTTCGCTTTCGCCAAATCAGCATCAGACATCGTGGCTACCGGATGAGCCTCGCTGTTGCCGTCATGGCCCTCCGCGGCCGTATTAATGGGATCGATATACGGAGAATGGCCATCATCCGCATCCACAGCATCCAGAAAATCGGCCCCGTCTTCCACTCTCTCCTCTTTACCTTCTCCCTCTTCGTCGTCTTCTTCTCCAGCGTCCATTTCTGGCTCATCTACAGCCTCGCCAATGAACCCCCCCTCATTGATCCTCCTCAACAAGCAAACAGCCTGCTTCCCCAAATTCCTCAACACTCCAACCTCTTCACTACCCATTTGCCCTACCTCCCTGCATCTGCCCAGCAAGCCCCAAGTCCAAGCTCCAATGTTCTTGCCTTTTTTTCCTCTCCGATTTGCGAAGGTCAACAAGAATTCGAGTACCTCCAGTCCGCAGATCACGCTCTCTTGCGTAAGCTGCGCCAGCAGGACCATTGTAGGCGTTGTGTTAAGTATCTTTCCCCGCCATACTCGGTGGCTCCTCCAATCAAGATAGTAGACATCAGTGTTGTCTGGCGCAGCGCGAGAGGGTGGTGATTGGAGCACTTCGGTAAGTTCTGTAAAGCGCGCGCAGAGTGAAGCGTAGTATGCTTCCTGGGGATCTTGATCTTCTTGTTGCCCACCATTCGTGTGTTCCTGATTGTGGTTGGAGAAAGGAACAGGAGTGGCAGTGTATGCGCCATTGGAGTAGTAGCCTTGAGGATAGTCCGCGTAGATGTCATTCTTCTTGGATTGGACAGTAGGTGAAATTGGGGCGACAAGGAGGTTAGGAACAGTCTTAGCTTCTGATCTATAGGCACACAGAATGCGGTCAGCTCTTGCAGTTGTGGCTTACGCGCTGGATAAAGAGTCTCAGCATTTGTTGCTTGGGAGAAGCTGGGGGTCATGCGACTTACCTGACCATGCGTAGATACTCTAAACCATCGCTGGCAGGTCCGTAAAAAAGCCCACCGTCATCATGGGAATCCTCGAGGCCCGGGAAGGCGCCACGCTGGCCGTAGGTAGGGTCGATGCGGGACTGGGAAGGTGCGGGCAAGTCGTCGCTGCCGTCCAGGTTGTTGAACCGGGTCCGTTTGCGGTTGAGGGCACTCTCCCCATCTTGATTATCGGGATGCTCGCGTTTATTGGTCATGGTGATATCGGACTGTGGATGGGGGGTAGAAGGGGGGGTCAAGATTTCTAATGAAACCGTGGATTTCTAGCGTCCTCGGCTGTAGAGTAGAGGATGATGCTGTCTGAGTCTCGTCGTTGCTCGATAACTCACATCTTTTGGGTTTCCCCTTTTTATTGGTTAAAGCAAATGTTGAAATTACTACACGAGCAGCTCTTTAATTGTTCAATTCCGAGTTGCCTTACTGGACATGGCTTGCCGCACTTCCTGAATCCGTCGGACTACCTGTACACACCCATCGCAGAACTTCGATCAAAAGCTACCAATGTGGGGATTGACCCAACTTGAACGTGGACGTTTGCTAAGTTCTCCCATCCTCAACGAATGTTTGAAAAGCTTTTTATGAAGCGTATCATACTACCATCGCACTTATACGTCTTGCCTTACGTGAGGTTGATATATATCACAATATGTGTCTGGTAAGTAATTTTTCGGCGCTAACAAGCCGACAGCTTCTACTGAAGCTTGTCGAAGACTACTGACAGCTCTATCCATGTTGTTTACCCGCGTAAGCTAACCACGAGTACCTTCGGTTATGCTTTGGAAGCTACCTAGCCAACGGTATCAAAAGGCCTATATGGTATTGAGTATAACAACCTGCATGATGCTCTGATGAGAGATAAGGAGGGTAGGGACTCGTACTGGTACCAGATTATCTTGATACCAAAGCGTCATGTTTGTATTGGGGTTTTCGGTGAGTGGAGGTGCTTGGGGTGTTGGACACGCAATGAGGGCGAGAGCTAGAGCTTGGTGGTGATTTACAAATGCGCTGATCTTTCACTTAGGATTGAGGCTTGTATAAGCCGACTTCCTCAATTCAACGAAACTATTGACGAAGCCTTCGCGTACGGTGTTTGAAGCCCATCTAAGATGATGGCAATCTTGTAAGGCTTAGGACTGCGGAACGTGGACGTAGACAATGAGAGGCTAAGTCATGATTGAGACGATGGGTTTCTTTTGCTCGTTGAACACAAAGGCGCGGTTTGAACCAAGATTCTGGGAACAGGCTCAGGATTTACTTCGCATGAGGCATGTTTTGCAGGCTCAGCCGCAATCAGTACACGAAGCCTCGTCCCTCAATAGACAAGACCTCTGCTGCAAAGATCCAGGCAAAAGTTTTGAATTCATACGTTTTCAATCTCGGTCTTGATGGATCGAGCCATTAACGAATCTCACTCTACTTGCACCGTATGGCCTTCAAGCAATAATCTTTAAGGAGATTGACAGCCCGGTTTATCCCCTGCTTATTCCCGAAGGATTCGGTGATCTGCAGGGCTGCAGCCCAAAAGTACTTGCATATACCGCGCAATACAGCCTTGGAAAAGGGAATGAAATCCATTGCTCTCGATTGGTTGACTGGATGAATGTTTCGACTTCCCCCCCTCAGCATGCACCAAGCGATACATTGGGCCTAGGCCTGCATCCACCACCCCAAGCCCCACAGGAACACCCACAAATTATCTTTTTGCTCCGCCGCTCTGAAATAGCTACCAAAACCTTTTGATTGTTTGCAATTGGAGCAATATGCAGCCTTTGAATTGGCGAAGCGAAAGAATGCTCGATGACTTCATGACATTTTGAACAAGGCGCAGTGCAGATGCGAGTGATGAGCGTCGGCTCCCAGTGCCCTACGTGAGTCGACCAATGATGTTACGCTACATGCGGTGCATGCAATGCTGACAGCAGAAAGTAGGCATGGTAAAGAAGATGCCATCTTTGACCCAGGTCTGATCTCCTCCGTGGTTATAGTCATTGATATCCGAGGTGGTAAGTTCCTTTTATTCCAAAGCAGCCAAAGACATGAACTTGATGCCGCTCTTGCATCTTCGCGTCTTCATTCCAAGCAACCGACAGGAATTTGCTATCTTACTTCTCTTCCCTCGTCCGCCATGTCCCATTCATTTTGCGACGAAAATCAAGGAACTATCGGTCTAGCCTTTACCTGGATACTCTTATCCTTCGGTATCCTTACCGTGAGCTTGCGAATCTACGTTCGCTCGGGTGTCAATGGCAAAATTGGGTGGGATGACTACACAGCAGTGGCAAGTCTGGTTAGTACACCGTCTTACCTGCGCTTTGCGTTTACCTCTGTCGTTGCACGATTTCCAAACCGCATGAAGGATAAATGGCTCACACTAGCGCTCATCCAGGCCGTAGGAATCCTAGCCGGCGGTTTCTTCACCAAAATGATCACCTCGGGTATGGGTCGACATGTATCCTGCCTTCCCCCACAATCTGTCATTGCCATGCTCGAATTCAGTGCTATCTCTGAAGCCCTCAACGTCTTCGGCATTGGCGTCGTCAAGATCTCCGTCTGCTTAGCCCTTCTCCGAGTCGTGGAACGCGCTCGCCGCGGGATCACTTTGTTCCTCCGGTCCCTCCTCGTTTTCGTCGCCGTCACCCACCTAGCGCTAGCGCTGCTCTTCTTCCTGCATTGTAGACCCCTGGCCGCGCTTTGGAACCCGAAGGTCCAAGGATCGTGCTTATCAACGCACACGACGGTTCTGGCGGGATATGTTGGCTTTGCTGTTGATGTTGTGACGGATTTGGTGTGTGCCGGTATACCTGTCTTGGTCATCCATCGGCTGCAGATGAGCTTTCGAACCAAGGTCGCGTTGTGTGTGCTTATGGGCTTGGGGGTCTTTACCGCAGGATGTGCGGTGGCTAAAGCTATCACGTTAAGGGGCGTCTTTGCGGATGACTATACGTTCGGCTTCACGAAGCCTGCGACTTGGGCTGCTGTTGAGCAGTTTGTTGGGATCATCATTACTTCAATTCCCGCTCTACGTCCATTGTTGAGAAGCTTCCTGGAGCAATCTCACAATCGCTCTGGTATTCGGAGGTACATATTCTGGGGGAGCAAGACTGGTAGCTTTGGTTTCGGTAAGAAAGGCAGTCCACAACAACAAGAGCAACAACAGCAACAATATCAACAACAGAAACAGCAACAGGTCTCTCGCTCCGAATCGAGTGTGCAAGAAAGCGTACGGACGAAGAACACATTCTTACCTTGGCATAGAGACAGTCGAGGATTGCCTTTCAGCAGTAGTGACTCGAATCAGGCGACTGCGGTCTATAAAGAATCCTCGAAAGGCGGCACGGGACAGGTAGATCCAGAGAAGGTACTTCTTGGCGATAGGTTTGGCGATAGGTTTGGCGATGTGGTTGGAAGGGACTATCTGAAGGGGTGGTCACTTCCTGATATTGCGGATCGAAGGTCGGCGATGATCGCTATACCGGTGTTCGACGTATGACAATTAGCATGCAAAGGGGCTAATTACTGATCCATACCCCAAAACCATGAATCCTTACCGAGTCATACCCAGGAAATGGCCAATTACCAAATCAGACCCCACTGGGGTGTGAATCAGTAACTAGCCCGCATGCAAACTTTGAAATTATCACTGTCTTTTCTCATCGTGTATCATCGAAAAGAAAACTGCTCAGCCTTTGTGCGGCCCCGTTCTTCCTTTCCTACTCATCGAGATCGGCAAGGTCGGACATTCCAATCCTCTCCGGAGATAGGTGACATCTTCCAATCTCTCAAAATGATAGAAAGCTTTCGCATCTTCCTCACTTCTGCATGCGAGGAGTTTCATTTGCTCCTGCTGTCTCTGAAAGACGACAGAGTGGAGACTCGACCAGATCTTGCCTCGCTTTGAAACGTCCGTAATGATGATGTTGCAATCTCGTGTTTCAACAACTCGGCAGTGGAAGCTTTCTATACAGATCTTTCAATATGCAGTGAGGAACCCTATATCGGCATTGGTACCAGCAGGTCAAGGTCGAGTGCGTATGGAGAATGACAATAGTGGCCGGGATCGAAGACACTTTGAAGCGACTCAAAATAGTCGCAAAAAGAAAGAAAGCTCATCTTCTGCGGCTGAACCACATAGCTATGCAGCAGAGAAGTCCACACCCACCACACCCAACGTTCAAGTCCGATTCAAGCAATCCTACCTCCCCTACCCCTTTCTGCTCAACGACCCCAATCCAAATGTCCCCGTCCTCCGCATTCCGAATCGTCCACTGAATTTGTGCCGCGCGATGGCTACGGTAGACTTAGCGGAGCCGTTGTCGTTTGGGGCTTCCAATCATGCTCGCTGGGCACGTATTACGCTTGCGCTATCTTCGAAGCAAAGAAGGCCACGGGGCGTGATGGCTAGACATCTTGATCGAGCTTTGCGCTGCCATATTCTGGCTTAATTATCATGAGCCACATGTGAAATGCGAGGCTTGCGGCGGTGGTGAACTCAAGGATCGAGCAGGTGACTTTCTCAGGCAGCTTGCAAAAGGGATTGATGGATGCCATGAACTCTAGTGTTGTGCCTTCTGATGGTGGGAAAGTGTTTAGTAAGATATAAAATATAGTTTAATTATTAATAATAAGATCGAGAAGATCTTCTAATCTAGAGATCTTCTAAGAATTTCTTTAATTAGTATATATAATAGAATAAGATAGAACTAAGCTTGAAAATCTTGAATTTGTATATACAGTTAATTATAAATTCAGAGTCACTACGCGGGTGACAAAAGTGGTTGCACACTAACACCAAATGGAGAATAGGGCGATTCTCCACCAAATTTCTATGCGCCAACACCATTCTTCTCTACTAGAATCCTATTATTTAACCCTCGCCATCTATAATCATCTATAATCTCTTAGATATACTATATATACACTCGTTAATAAATTTCTAAGATATATACTTCTCTTAGCTATTTACTATATAATACTTCGTAAACTAATTATCTTAATATAAATATTTCTTTAATATCTATTTAGAAGACTATTAGTAATTCTTAATTAAGACTAAATCGAGCGAAAATATATAGTTTTTATATATATTAATATTCTCTTTAATCTTTAACTTTCTAATAATATAATTTTTAATATTAATATTATATTTTAAATCTTCGTCTTCTTCTAGAATAAATAAATCGATTTTTTCTTAACGTACTTACTCTATCTAGAGCTTAATAATAGACTTAAGAATCTTATTTCTATAGACTTATTTTATTATCTTTTTATTAATATTAGTTAAGATTTAATAAAATATAAGATTTAATTTAAAATTATAACTTACGCTAGTCTAGATATAATATCGAAATTTCTCATTATTCTTTTCTAGAGATTTCTCGATCTATTATATATAACTTTAATAATATCTCTATTTAAACTTTCGAATAATCTATATCTTATTCTATAAGCTTTAATTAAAATAATACTTATTAGAAAATCGAATAGAGAACTAATTCTCGAGCTCGAGATATCTCTCTTTCATAATATAAGTATATTTTAATCTTCTTTTAGCAAGTCGTCTATTATACTAGCTCTTTCAATACGCTATATATTTATAATAATCTATTACTCTTATACATCGTTAAATAATTCGCTTAGAGATATTTTCTATATTTAGCTCTACTTTAAAGTCTAATTTGTCACGGAAATGCGTGCCTTATCGCTAACCGTTGCGCCAAAGCGCCAAAAGAGCGTGGACCCCTGCCTGAACAGCAAGAATCCCCTAAAGCACACTATATCCGTAACAATTGCACACTTCGAAAAATGGCGCATGTCCTCATGCGCTGGCCTACACGCATAAGTATCGTATATAGGAACCCCCCGGGTGTGACCCCGTAAGCTACTTGTGGCCTGGTGCTCCGCAGGGGATTCGAACACTCCTCCTCCAGGTTATGAGCCTGGCGTGCTGCCAATACACTATGCGGGCCAAGTAACCTATTCAGACTGTCCGGGTCACACCCGGAATCGAACCGGTGTTGCTACCAATTGTCAAGGAAATGGATGACTGGGTCATGAATTCATGTGTGGTGTAAAAGATGCTGGTGAATAGCCTAATTGTCTGATTGGTAGCCACACCTAACCCAGGTCCTCTTCCAAGTCGTCTATACCGTCACTCAACCCGCAGTCACGATATACCGACAGTCAGCCCCCCCGCGCTTCCGCTACGCAGCTAGATTCAGTCTACGCAATCAGACAATTAGGCTATTCACCAGCCTCTTTTACACCACACATGAATTCATGACCCAGTCATCCATTTCCTTGACATAATTACTCTTAAATTAATACTTTTATCTTTATAAGATACTCGTTATCTTATATCTTTAAAATAAGCTTTATTTCTTATATTTAAGCGTTAGAAATTAGAAGAGAAGCTTCGAGATTTAAAGTATTCTTTATAGAATCGTAAATTAAATAACGAGAGTTACGATCTAAATCGTCGATATACTCGTTAATCTAATTCCGGGTAGTACTAAATGAAATACCGATATCTTATTCTATGTGTCGCTATAATTTGTTATTAATTATTCGTTCTTGAATAACTATTCGATGCATAGGAGTATACTATGGCTGATTAGAAATATGGCTACTAAGGGACGATATTGTAATTGTTGAAAGAGAGAAGAATGGTGTTGGCGCATAGAAATTTGGTGGGGGATTGCCCTATTCTCCATTTGGTGTTAGTGTGCAACCACTTTTGTCACCCGCGTGCTACGCTCTTTGATTAGATCGGCTAAGTCATCGCGGGTAAATAAATTAGCGTTCATAACCATCAAAATCTTACCCTTTCATACCTCTCTCATTAAAAAAATAGATATACGTTATTAACATATAGAATAACTTTTTTATTTTCTATTAAAATTTTAAGAATTTTTTTTAAAATTATAGAATAAGATATAGGCTTTTAGATAAAAAAAGAACTTTTAAATTTAGTCTTATAATTATTAAAGCGTAAGAAATTTAAATATCGCTTATTAAAGTTCACTTATTAAAATTCGCTCGATAGCCGAATAGCTTTAATTAGATACATATTATTTAATTTTAAAATAACATTTTTATTCTCTATTAAAATTTTAAGATTTCTTTTTTAAATTATAGAATAAAATATAAGCTTTTAAATAAATAAAAATTCTTAAATTTAATCTTATAATTATTAAAGCGTAAGGAATTTAAATATCGCTTATTAAAGTTCGCTTACTAAAGATTACTTATCTATTTACTCGATAGTCTTAATTAAAAAAATAATTATAAATTTAATTTATAGGCCTTTACTCGTAATTATATAATATTAGAATTTATCTATATATTTTTAACTTTAATTTTTAAATAGAGATAAGATATTATATTAAGAGAATATATAATTATATCTCATAATCGCTCGTAATACGTTTCTCGAGAATTTCTTTAGAAATTATTAAACTTTATAATATAATAGTAATATTATTATCTAATAGTAATATTACTATTAATTAATATTATTTAAAAGAATATAATTAATAGAAATAAGTCTTCTTATTTACTTAGACGAAAAGCGTAGAATTTAAATCGCTATTACGTTAAAATTTCTAATTTTTATAGATTATTTATCTAGATATTATCTTTTCTTATAGAATTTAATTTATTACTAGTTAAAAAGATATGAAATTTTTTAAACTTAGAATTTTTCAACTTTTACTTCTTTTCTTTAAAAATTTATATCTTTATAATCTATTTATAGAATCTTATAATTCTTAAAGCTCTATAACGAGACTAGTTTATTTTATACGAAACGATTTTAAAATACGATAATTTATATATAAAATATCGAGTAGAATTAGAAATATTCTATATCTTTTAGAATAATATATCGAAAATTACTTAAATTTCATACTAAATATTATATCTTTTCGATCTTTATAAATTATAAATTAACTTATAATTTAAATATATTTAAATATTTATCTCTTAAAGTTAAAATCTTAATTATTAAATCTTAATCTTAACGTTAAACTTATATAATATTTCTATATACGTATTAAAGATATAGAACTAATAATTAACTAATAAAAAGTTAAATATTATATTTTAAAAATATATAATTATCGATAAAGTCTTAAGTAAGAAAGTTTCTAGAATTTAAAAATACTCTTAGAATCTCTATAAAATATATCTAATATGAAATTATTTTATACTATAGCTACTTATACCCTATATCTTATTAATATAGGTCGAAATATTCTATATATATAATCTTGCCAAGACTCTCCAGAGATGATTAGTAAAACCCCTCTGCCGACCTTAAAGTAGACGCTTCCCAACCTGACCGCGGAAACCCTTCGCTCCATACCCGATACGGTAGGCTCAGATGTTGCTGTCCGTTGATTTCGGGTGCCCTTTGTCTTCTATACATCCCAGCATATCTCATCCTCCCTTCAAACACCTATTTCACTCCATGTTCGTCCAGCCTTGAGCAAGCTGACTTGCTTATCGACTTTATCTCCATTATCCTTTAAGCACGTCAGACCGTAAATTGGTGTATCACTTTGCGAGACTCTATTGTTTTCTGGTTGGACTCGTGGTATGATATCCCCACATTTACCCCTGTAAGCAGCCGTTTCTTCCTACATCTTCACAGCACTGACATTCCGTAAGCTTGGGCAGTGATCCTGCTGCCAACTCCATCAAAGCGTCCTCGTCACTAGATTCACGTAGATCACTGGTGCTACAAGCCGATGGACACCTCGGGGAGCTGGATGCGCCTGAAGTATCAGACTCTTTTTCCCCATCCGTCGTCGATGAAACCTTATCCAGCAGCAATCCTCGGGCCCAACCCCATGCTTCCTTGACATTCGTCAACGGCCTCGCTCTCGTCCTCGGCCTTCAGATCGGCTCCGGAATCTTCTCTGCTCCTTCCCAAGTGAGCAATCACGTACCATCTCCAGGCGCAGCCGTCTTGATTTGGCTTGTGGGAGGCATCATGGTCTGGACAGGCGCCGCCTCGTTCATCGAACTCGGACTAGCAATACCTAAGAATGGAGGTATCCAGGAATATCTCAAGGCCTGTTATGGTGATTATCTCGGATTTCTCTTTACATGGATATGGATCGCCATATCAAAGCCTTGTGCCATGGCAATGATTGCGATGATTTTTGCCGAAAACTTGAGCATTGCGGCCGGGCCCGTCGACGTACTTTCTGCGTGGGAAGTAAAGGTTCTTGCAATACTAGGACTCTTCTTGATTACCTGCATCAACTGTCTTGGTACGATTGCCGGAGCACGGGCTGCGAACGCGTTTCTGATCTTGAAGCTACTCGCGGTTTTCTCAATTGCTGCCACTGGCATAGTCATGGGTGTAACAGGCCGTCGTTCCCATGAAACAGAGCCCGAGTGGTTCGCAAGTGATCCAGATCCGCATCGCCAGACCATGCTCAACTGGGCTAAGGCAGGTGAGTACATTACAGCTATTTACGGCGCACTTTTCTGCTACGGTGGATGGGAATCGGTGAGTACTATCTGATCTTCCTGTCACTCATCCTAACCATTATGCTAACGCCTACATCTACGAGCTCAGATCGGCTTCGTTGCTGGCGAGATGACTGACCCATCTCGTGATTTACCTCGAGTAATCAACACTGCCATGTTTGTGGCCGTTAGTGGCTTCGTTCTTATGAATATCGCACTTTTCATGGTAATTCCGTTTGAAACGATGAGAGAAAGAAGCGTTGTTGCAGTGGTCGGTGCTCCCGATAGACTTGCACACCCTTAGGAAGGCAGAGTCGATATTGACACACCAGCCAGGAGTTTGGTCTGCACGTTTTCGGAGCTACCGGCGGCACGGTCTATTCTTTAGTCGTTTCAGCATCTTGTTTGGGGGCTTTGAATGCGAATGTCTTTGCAACTGGGAGACTAATTGTCGCCGCGAGTAAGAACCATTACTTTCCCAAGTTTTTCGGCAACGATCATTGCTCTGCGAGAGAAGAAGAGTCGCTTTCTACAAGGAAGGCACTGCAAAGGTTCCCAGCTCTTGTGTCCGCTGGCATCTTGTGGTTCGCCGAGAGAACGGAGACTCTGCGCTGGGACAAGAAAGTACCCATGTAAGTCAATTCAGACCACCGAAATTGCTTCAAAATGGGCTGACCCCGTAGATATGCAATGATCATGAACGCATCTATTGCAACACTCTACGTCGTCGTAGGGACTTTTGACAGCTTGGTAACATTTGTAGGTATGATATCCACGTCAGCTTCTTAAACTATGATCATGATCGTTAAATGCTATGCAGGTATTTCAGAATATTCGTTCTTTCTACTGGCCGTCCTTGGAATCTTCATACTCCGTCGTCGCGGAAAAGCTCTTAATAAACGGGACAAAACATGGACCTTTAACCCTGTTATATTTTGCGCGTTCAGTGCCTTCCTCGTTATACGGGGCATTATTACAGATCCAATACAGGGACTCATAATCTTCAGCCTAGCCGTGATTGGATGGGCAATGTTTAGGAGAGTCTCTGCGGCCGGGCTGATCTGAGGTAAATGACTCGATACGAGCACTTTGAGTCATACCTCTATGCGTTCGGTGGTCTTTGGGGCGGGGCTTGCATGGAGAGGCTAATGCAAAGGGCGGGTGAAGTGGCCATCTAGGACATCGGAATTTGCGGGCCAAGAGCCCATCATGCATGTCGAGCCTTGTCTAGGCAACACAAAGCGCCACCAGAAGACGTCGAAAGATTTCCACCGTGTCACATGCTTGACTCGCCCAATTGAACTTGAGGGAAATCTGCGAGGCTGCAAGGCAGCGCGTAAGCCAAAAAACCCACAAATAAAGTGTGTGGACCCTGAATGATAAGGCATTGAATGATTTGAATATCGTTGTGTTAATGGATGCACCCCCACCTTGCTCGCGACAATGACTGGTCCCTTGAAGGCAAATCTATGGCCAATGAATCGCTGGCACAACCCCTCAAGGAATGAGGCTCAAGACCATGAGAGTAAGCTCGACCAATATCACGTATGATACACCCCTAGCTGATGTTGAGAATAACAAAGGTCGTTGTCAGTGAAACCATATCAAAGGGAACGATAATATTCTAATGTCCTACCTCCATGGCTCTATGCAAGGTTCGCAGCTATAAGGCACTTGCTAGAAGCTTTCCGGGACTGACAAGGTATACCGGCCGCTCTTATGCAACGGCGCCGCCGCTTGTTGTACCACATGAGAGGATTGAAGAGCATCCTCGAGCATTTCGCTTATACACCAAAAGTCATATCGCCACGCTTTTTGAACGTTATGCCCCCAGGTTGGATCCCACCTCTTACCTGGCTGCCGCTCAAGTCTTCCCCATGAGGGCCAACAACTATGTCGTAGAAGATCTCATCGATTGGTTGGTCTCCGAGTCTTCCTACTCCCTGTAAAAATCATAACAGTCTGAACAAGATTTGGAAGGGAGATAGTATTGTTTACCTTAACTTTGGTTGACGTGCTCTCTGACCGTGAATCTTTGCTGCTCTAATGCTAAAGCCTTTGCCAATATAACAGGTCCAATGTGCCCGCCGATCCAATCTTTCAGCTTGTTTTTCCCCAACCAGCAATGCTTTCGCACCATGATCTCGATTCAATGGTCTCCGCCGTCTCCCAGGTCGGACTCTCCAAAGTATCTTTGCGCGAAAAGGCCGAGAAGATCCGTGCTACTCTCAACCCGCATCCTGCAGGCCAGAAGGAGGAGAATGTGCCTATTCTGCACGATCAAGAGATGCTTGGTACGCAGCACAAGTACCGTGAAACGATACTCTTTTTCCCCACAGAGGTCGGAGCCCAGTTGTTCAAGTTTTGCAGACCTTGCTCATTGACTGTAGGGTCAATACTGTCATTCTTTCTGTACTTATTGCTTCCGCTGGGCTCAATTTACCTCCGTCGGATCGGAACAACAATTCCAGTCCAAAGAGGTCAAGCACCTAAAACGCTACATCAGTCAGCATCCACGCGTGAAGGATCTTCTCTTTACTGGGGGTGATCCCTTGGTGATGTCGTCTCGAACCTTGCGAAGCTATATATCGCCTCTGCTGAACAGTTCAGATACTCAGCACTTGAACACCATCAGACTAGGGACAAAATCCCTAGCTTACTGGCCATACCGCTTTTCCTCCGACCCAGACTCCAGGTCCCTCTTACAGCTGTTCTCCGAAATCGTGGATTCAGGGAAACATATTACTATACAAGCGCATTTCACCCACCCCCGGGAACTTGAGCATCCGGCTGCACAGAAAGCAATGAGGCTGATCAATATGACGGGGGCACAGATCAGGTGCCAAGGTCCCCTTATACGAGGGATCAATGATGATCCTTCGACCTGGGCGAGGATGTGGGATCTGCAGACCAGACTGGGTGCTGTACCTTATTACATGTAGGTAACTATCGTATTTTCCAGGATTTACCGACTCTTGGACGAGGCCTTTCCATTTTTGGTGGCATGGAAAGATTGGCTTTGGTCGGCAAACATTGCTGATACGTACTCGCATCTGACGTAGGTTTGTGGAGCGTGATACCGGAGCCAAGGACTACTTTTCGGTTCCCCTCGCATCGGCCTACTCGATTTTCAGTTCCGCGGTTGCTAGCGTTCCTGGTACCGCGCGGACTGCTCGAGGACCCTCGATGTCAGCGTCTCCAGGCAAAATTGGTATAGTTGGCATTGAAGAAATCTCTGGAGAACGTGTTTTCGCACTGAAGTTCTTCCAAGCGCGAAATCCGGCCTGGACAGAGCGGCTATTTTTCGCAAAGTTCGATGCGAGGGCTACCTGGCTTGACGAGCTGAAGCCTGCATTTGGAGAGAGTAATTTTTTCTTTGAGCAAGAATATTGTGACATCAGTGCAAAGACTGGCAATAGGCAAGGCTCCTCTGGGCAATTTTTCAATTGAAGACACCAGAATGTCTTTACTGTTGGCGAAGTCGCAGCTGGTCTTGAGAACATCGGACTATACTAGAAAATATATGACAGGTATCAAGCTTTGGATGCTTGGTTCCTTATTCTACTTGCTCCAACAGGTAATAGAATGGGAATCTAGCTCTTGACTGACATCTTTCTAGCAGATTCAAGATATACTGAATTCCACACACAGCCCATTACATTTCATCCTGATCGCGGTGTCGGCGACAAATTACAAGATCCCAGAATTCCTTCAACTTGTCTAGATAGAGCATGGCACCCTTAACTACACAGGCCGCAAAGCCACTCAATCGACGCTTTGTTGAGAATTAGACTAGAACTTTCATGGACAATCTCAGACTCACTTCAAAGGTAATGTGCACAGTCAAACCTTCCGTGCGCTCCTGAAGAGGCTCCGAGTCGTATCCAAGGAAGTGAAGAATGTGTCGATCCCAGAGCCAGTAAGCTGCACCTGCTGCGAAGCAAGCAGTCCCAACTGTCGGACCAACCCATGAAGCTACGACCCGTTCTTTGGTGTGTAATGTGTTCTGTAGGCTTGCGGGGAACCAATCCACCACGAAGACGAACAGATTGGCGACTATGTATATCCCTGTGAGAGGGAATAAGTACCATAGTCCTAAGCTGCTGCCCTTGGGCGACCACTTTTGGCCCTCGTATTCGAAGGATTTCAAATGGGGTGCAGCCAGCAGTGCAATTCCAAGGACCACTATATACAGTGAGTCTGGAATTTAACAGACGGGGACCGACCACTCACTTGCAACGACCGTTCTATCATAGTAGAAGATGGTGCTGAAGACGAGATAACCGTTGGCATTCGAGAGTGGTGTTGCGATGATAAAAACGGTGGAAAAAATGAAGTGAAGTAATAACGCTGGCCCTGGCGTATCATATCTGGTGGACTTCGCAAAATATGCAGGGAAAGGAAGGATGCCAAGACGAGCTATCTCCTGTTTGACTGTTTCGAAATCCCCTCAGCATTACTAGCTCCTGGCATTTGGAGCATATCCATAGCACTCACCTCTTACTGCGGAATACGTGGCTGACATGATATTTCCGGCTGCAGAGATCGCCAGCAGTGTCCCCGATGCCGTGCGTGTCTTTGGAGATGGCCCGAACACCTTGGCAGATGGGTCGTGATCAGTATGGGTGAAATGGGTTTGAAAGTTGCTCACCTTCGAGAAGAATAAGGAAAGAACGTCCGATGAGTTGATCAGCTCTTCTGTGGAGCAAGCCGCGAACTTGAGATCCTATCAGCTATGACCCGTGATTGGGCTAATAGTCAAGACCCACCAGCGAAACGTTCACCATAATGTAGAAAAACCAGACTATCAAAATGGTGAACTTGGCTCCTCGACGAAATACTCTTGTTTCGTCTCCAGGCGGCCTCCGAACTTCCTCCAAGATCTTCCAAGTTTCAAACGAGGTCAGCTTCTCACAACGCATGCTCAACGATCAGAAAATGATGTCGCTCGTGTGCAACATAGGCCGACAAAATTTGAGTGCTGATTATGCCAATGTGGTAAACTGCCTTCTAATTTTTTAAAAGGTCAAGATAGGAAAATGTGGCTCACAAAATTTGCGTTCTCATAGCCGCTGTATACTCTGAAAATGTCCAGCATGGCAATCGAGACCGGGTACAGTTTGAGCGTCGTTCCAGCGAAAGCATCGCTCAGATTCTTGACCCCATAGGGATCATCCAGCACTGCTGCAACAGGCGTGCGTTCGTTCCGGAGAGCACACAGTCCAAGGATCGATACGATGGAGAGAAAGGTAATCTTATAGACGGCAAAGGCGTTGGCGAAGCGCACATAGTTGATCCGGGAGAAAGCCTGGAGTAGGCAGACGGCTGCAATGAGCAATATAGCGAATAATTTCTGCAGGCGTGGATCCAGAACGGTGCCCTCGACAGTGCTGGCCAGGAGAACAGATTGGCCGAAAACCAGACTGTTCGCTTGGCTTCCACTGAGGATGATGTAGAAGATGGAATACGTGTAAGTCATTAGGAGCTTTGGTTTCGTCCAAACAAAGTCGATCTAATGTCACAGTATCAGCAGAATTTGAGACGGTTGTGATCTTTTATCATGTGCACTACGGCTGTCCGGACACCAGATTCTCACATCGACTGAGGCATCCGGTCTCTAGAATGGTAAAAGGCGCAGGAGCCGTCCAAATTAGGAGAACTCGACTCACATAATGGAGCTCTCCTCCGCTAAGTGGAAATCTGATACCGTATTCCAAGTAAACTGCAAGTCTAGTGGGTGTTTGTTGGTCAGAATAAGGCCAGGATTATGGTTTTTGGGTCACGAAGAAGGTATCGCTCACCCTGCCCAGCTTACTACGCCGCCTAGAAGCCATAAAACAAGACTGATGCCTTTACTACCAGTAATTGCCAGTACTGTTGGCGGCGCAACGAATACTCCGGTTCCAACCATTTTGTTCAAGATCAGCGCACTACAATCACGTCAGCTTGTGAAAGAAAAATATTGTGTGAGGGGCCCCACCTGGTGGAGAAATATCCGAGATGATCCCTTGGCCTTACGAGCTTCAACTTCCCGTGGCTACCAAGGTCGAGATTATCAGGTCGACCAGTCTTTGCCTGGTCTGGGCGCAGCATTCTGCTTTCGTCATCTTGGTAGGCGTCAAGCTCGATCTCATGATTAGAGGTCGGCCGCCGTACGTTGTTTCGCTGCGAACGAACGACAGAGGGCGACGGATTTGTCGACATTCTCCGGTAGTAGACCTCTTTGCCGGCTTCTCAAGTTGTCTTCCGCGAGGGTTCGCTTTAAACCAGAGAAGACTGGCGCAGGTGCCGCTCAGAACAAGAAGCCAGCCGTCCTGCAAAAAATATGCAGCGGTGATTAATAACAGCATTCAACGATTCGAACCGCTGCAGGTTGCAGTGCATTTAAGATGAGGTCTCCCTGGTTGCAGTCGTGTGCCTCTTCTGACAGCGCTCTTAGAGCGGATCTTACGTTTGATGGGCATGCTTCTTGGTGCTTCCGTAAGCCGTGAGTGCAACGCACTCAACATAGCCCAGGCCCCAACGTCTGTATTATCAACGGTCGCGACACGGCAGCGATAAGCCTACGAGGCAAATCTATTACAAGATTACACATTGCCATGCGGCGTTTTATGCGCCAGACCCTGATTCGACTGTTTTCCATGTGGGTGATGTGGCTCCTGCAGTCAGCATGCAATGCTTAAAGGATCTTCAGTCTCAATTTCCTCATTTGTTACGTCTTGCCTTTTCATTGGAGGTTCGCTATCAAAAAACATACAGCAAGGCGATTTCAGGCAATTGACTATACCCAACTCACTCGAGCAGCTCGTCAGGCTTTTCTATCCTACCAATGTCCTCCCTTGTTTGCGTCGTCACTCCGGGGAGTGGATACGAAGGGCCCAACCCCAGATTTCAGTCGAGGCTCGGAACTATTTCCTCCCACTTAGTCGTTATTAATTGCTGTCCGAATCCGCAACCTGCACCTTGGCGCTACAAGGCTCTGCGCATCGACAAGCCACGCGACACATTGGAATGAAGGAGTGCGTGTTGCACAAGCTTGATGGCTGCTTCAGCTGAGAACGAGCCAAGGCGCGATTTGCGGCTCTTAAAAAATGCAAGGTACCTTTTTGGCCGGTATCTGAAGTTCTTCCTACCTGTATCTGCATCATGTGCCAAACTTGCCCATACACTGTCGAGCTTGCAGAATGGCATATATCGATTCAACAGCAGATACAACACGGGCAATGAGCCCCTATCAGTGTACTCTCAACTGACTGTTGGACTCTCTGACACTTTGGTCGCCCTCCGGCGTGATCTGATCTCCTGCGCTCGTCAGTATGAGTCAGACACGCTGGACACCGGTGACTGGTCGTTTGAGCTGGACGATGCGTCGATGGAGCGACTTCAGACACGGCTCAATCCTATTACAATGGGCGTAGAGATCATCAATGAAGCAATGGAAATGTTCGTCCATTACCAGGTTCAAGACCTGTTCACAGATTGACATCAAACAGGGCACTGAACGAGAGTTCTGGGATAAGACCATCAGAAACGGTCGAAGAGATATACAAGCGTATCGACGAAGCCAAGAACAGTTCAGCGCGATTGCAAAAGCTTGTGAACAGCTTCCTTCATGGCATCACGGTACAAACCAAGCTGGAGACTACAGATGGCCGTGACTTGCATACCTTCACCTCCGCCAACATCTCTCACCGCGAGGTTGGGCAAAATGTTGCGGCGAGGCTGAGGCAAAAGACGCAAGAAGCAGTCAGTACCAAGGAGGAGGATGAAGGGCCAATGGCATGGAAGATCCGACACAGTATTTACTGGCTCTCGAAGAGTTCTGACGACTTGAGAGAGTGGAGGTCCGAGAATGGCCTTGCACTCAGCTATCATCCAACACCTGTATCTGACAAAGCATGGCATACGGTTGCGACAATATTCATCGACGCCCTCAAGGCTGCATGGCTGCTTGGCGACTTAGGTGACCTTCGAGCATACAAAGAGCCCAGCTTTGAGATCCAAGAGGTGGTCGCGTGTGCTAAGAAGAAGGTCTTGGGCCTTCTCCAATCCTTCTTCACGGATATATTCACCGTGCCTAACTACGATCTCATCAACGAGCTGGGTGATTTCGACATGTGTACAGACGACGAGCGAGAGCAGAAATCTTCTCATCTCTCCGATTCATCCTCGATCCCCTCGTCGCCTGCTTCGGAGCCAGAAATCATGCGCAATCTCATCAGTGAGCTAGGGGATATCGGCAGATGTACAGACGACGAGCGAGAGCAGAAACCTTCTCAGGTCTCCGATTCGTCCTCCATCCTCTCGTCGCCTGTTTCGGAGCCGGAAGTGATGCGCAGGCATTTTACCAATTCGACTTTTCCTGTGGAGCTGGAAGGTAGCTGTGTATCACTGACTGATTTGCACTCTCACCACGTCCCCTCGGAGCTCGGAGCGGTTCCATCGACGCA